GCCAAGAGTCGGACACGACTTAATGACTAAACAACAACAAATAGTGCAGAGTGGGGTTTTTTGGGTTTTTGTTTCAGTATCACTTATTTAATCCTACTATAAGCTGCCAATTGTTATTTTTAGCTGGCTAGTATAAAAATAGCTCAAGCAAGCAAACACACAAACGGTTTTCTTTTATAGAATTTGCGTGTTCTGTGAAGATGGGATGAGAATACACAAAGGATTTTACATAAGGCAGATATACATATCCCCAAATTCCAGCAACTGTTATCAGAATAAATCAAGGGCCATGATAAGTAGCAAATCATATTTGGGTATAGTTTAGTATATGATTGAATTTGTGCACTTAAATGGTCTTACCTGTTTCTATGTATTTCACTATAACATGAAGCAAGCTAACACAATACTCAACTGAATTTAAGGTGCACGTTTTTCATTTCAGTTTTTATATCCATCAGTAAAATAAAAGGTTGGTTCATGGATGGCAATCAAAATGTGATGCTCACCTGGAGTTGTGTTGAAATCTAAGATGCGATGATGTGACTGTAGTAAGTCAGGATTGCTTGATGACAATGTTCCACTGACAGGTAGAGCAGGAGGAATGTGCTTGGTCTGCCTTAAACCTACAATGCTATCATCCTGAGACTGACCAATTCCAATATCACTATATTAGTAGGAGAGAAATACAGTTACGTAGTATTCTTATATATAATGTAGAGCATCTTCTCTCAGTATTCCTGTAAGTTATGAGCTTTCATGTTGCTCTAAACTCACTGGCCCATAAAGTTCATAAATTTAAGCATACCTTTGATAAACCAGGCTGAGGCTTGCTGTAGTGCATGTGGAAGTTACACAAATGTGCCATGCATGGAAAAGCATTTTAAAAATAGCATTTACAGGAGAATAAATGCTGGTATATTTAATTTTCACACCATTCCTCCTACATATACTAGTAACATTAGCTTCAGTTCCCAAATTATTCAAGAATACACAAAAACAAGTTTCCTACAACTTTACAATGTAATAGTTACTAAATCTTTCTGATGTAAATCAGACTCTAACATCATCAGAATATTCAAACGGTACTTCACCGAGCTTCATTTAATCTTTAGAATTAAATAAAGTAGTAGAAGGCCAGTACCATTCAACAAAAATGAGTGCTTTTAAAAAATCTAATTTTTTGACATACTTGAATACATAATATTATTGCATTGCATAGGTGTTTAATTTTGAAGAAACAATTGTAATTCCTGAAGGTTAGAGTGCTAATTTTATTTTAGGTAAAAGTGAATATACTGTCTTAATGCACAATTTTTCAAAAACCTTGATTACTACCATGGGGCAGGGGGGAAGAATTAAAATATGAAACAAGTGACTTTATTGCAACAATATCACATTACAATGTCATGTACCTTTTCTATATGAATAAAAAAGATAATAATGAAGAAAATTATCTTCTTCCAAAATTTTGATTAACAATTGTAAGTATATGCATCACTGTGATAAACATAAACTATTAAACCATTCGAGCACAACAGACTCTGTTATTGAGAACCTATAAAGGACTATTTCTAATATGTGTGGAGGAGATGGTTCCAGAGACACAAGAAATAAGTAACTGCAATGCTTTATACTAGGGGTTTGAAAACCTTTTCAGACTGTTAAATTTGTTAGTTAAAACAAAACAAAACAAAATAAAACCAGAACCCTGATCAAGAGGCAAAGCGCTAGTGACAGAAAATTGGCTGTGTCTGAGTGATTTTTTTTCCCCTTCTTAATCTCTCATGGAATCTCATCAAGTTCTCACGGAACCCAGGGGTTCCATGGAACAGTTTGAAAAATCCTGCTTTATACTAAAACTTGGGAGTGCCCAGTCAAACTACTATAATTTTAATTTGTAACTTCCTTGAAAAGCATCTTCCACATTACAAAACGAAGTGGAATCTGCTGTGTCACAGAACATTTAGGAAATGCAAAATTTATTGTCTAATTATTTGAACTGTACCTATGAGATTTGGAAATACTCTAGCAATATGGGCTATGCTAGCTGAGTGAGAAAAACTGTCTTCTCATCCTTGTTTCTTGCAAAACCCCATCAAAATGCATGGAAGAGGAAAGGATGAAGCTTAATTTCTTTTTTAAAAGACTAATATGTCTTACAGAGTACATCAAAGATGTAACTGACAAATCAATTCTGGAAACTTTGGTTCAGTTTAATACATGAACAAAAATTCTGCATCAAAAGTCAGGATAACAATGCACATGACACAGATCAAGGTGCACTGATGGAAATTGCCTACTTGCTTTGGGATTTCTTGACGTTATACAATTGTCATAACCCAATTTCTGGAATCTTTCCCTACGCAACAAAATTTTATTTCACTTACCTGTATTTATCTGTGCCAGAACATATATTCAAGCAAACTTAAATGATCAATTATGTCTACTTTTGTTCTATTATAACACTTAGGAAAGTAGAAACAGTATTTCATTTCTCTTTCCATAAAGATATTTGAAACTTTCTCTTTTCACCCCTGGTTTATACTCTCCATGTTTTTTCTTTATGATCATTTATCAATGCTAAGAAATGCATGGGTGACATATCTAAGCTAATGTACTACAGCATGAAAGCATATTGTGCTACTATATATCACACTCACTTGTATGGTTTCTGAGGCAGGATACTGATGCGGGTTTTGTCTAGTATTTTCTTTAATTTGTTTCTCCCTCCAACAGTGTTGGCTTTGCTTTTCTTGGTTACTTTTTCCAATCCTATCACCTGTTCCACATCAACTGCAAGATCTGGGATGGAGTAACGGCTTGCTTTTTTAATATCACCAATTTTAGGAAGGTGAGGAGCACCATTTCTTTTGTCCTCAGACAACCTTGTTAGAAGTTCTTTAAAAACTGCATAGGAAAGGAAAGGAAAAGAAAACATGTAGAAAAAACAGCCTCCCCCCCCAAATATGTACTTTTCAAGTTCCAATAAATATAAAATTTCAGTCTAGTTCCACAAATCTATTTTAGGGGCAGAACTGAGTCTTCAAGATATATTATTTACTTCTATTACTTTCAGATATCAGGTCAGCCATAATGTGCTTTTGACTTAGTCTGATATGCAAAGTAAGTGAATAAACAACTGTTTCAGGACAAAGTCAGACCTGAACTGTGAGTTTAATAGTGACATATTAACAGCAACTGCTTTAGTGAGATATGCAATGGAGATACATAGTTTGTTTGTAATTTTCTGACACAGGGAAGGTTGCAAACATTGTCCAACTATATATTTTATATAAAATATGTAAAATGTCTATGTTCAGGCCTACACTGTGGCAATGAGTGGATAAAGTGCTAAGATGATCTCTGCCACCTGCACACTTGATCCATGACCTTCCTCAATTCCTCAGGCGACTGGTGCAGTTGTGATCAGCTGGATCTGCGAGGGTGTCATTACCTCAAGGAGAGAGTGATGTCATCTTTTTTTGAAAGTGGTGGACCCCACCCCCATCAAATGTATGTTCATTAGTGGATTTTTTTTGTGTTGATCTTGTTTTTAGAGTGTACTTGACAAAGGAACAATTTTTCAAAATGTGTCAGGTTCAATACATACACACACACACACACAACCCCCCCACATATATATATTATATATACAAAAAGCATTATATATACAAATATATATTATTTACTTATTTATTGGCACTTGGGAATGCTCCCTCCTTTCTTTCCCCTTCTTATTACTACTTGCCTAGAAAAAGTACAATGCATTATAGATGGGGCTGCCTCTGAAAACCACCTAGAAACTGGAGTTGCACCCTTGTGTTAACTAGCCCTCATTGCTGACAGCACATTTCACCTATGTTATGGGGCCTGACATGGCTTCCTTTTAAACTTTTAGGTGCAACTGAAATTGCTGGTTTTGACCTATAACATTCCATATAGTTTGGCACCTAATTACCTGCAAGACCACATTCTCTAATCTGAATCAGGGGTTAGAGAATATGCCATGGAAGCTAACAGCAGGACTCTATTTCTGAAAAGTAAGGTGGATGGGGGTGGAAAGGCACTGTTTTTCAATAGCAGCACCTGCTTTTAGAACAGTCTCTCTCTTGGTATCAGATATGCCCCCACTCTGATTTTGTTTCAGAAGATGCTCAGACTGAGCTCTTCTGTAGAACATTCATTGCTTGAGTGCTATAATCCAGGGTTTTTATATAGTAACAGGGATATTTTTCTGTTGTTGTGAATGTTTTTACAGATAAGTTTATTTATTGTGGATGTTTAATTATTTTATTCTTTAATCACCATGGTTGTTTTACTGTAACCATGGATGTTTATATCATAATATCATTAGTCACTTAGAGTCCTATAGTAGTTGGTGGTATTCAGGCCAATTAATTATATAAATATTACATCATATATTTAAACCTACTGTATTTGAATAAAAATAACACAATTTTATGTCATTAATACTTACCAAATAAGTTGGTTTTCACAGTGATAGATAAATGGGTATTATTTTGAAGAATTTCCATGGCTTTTGATAGCTGGATATTTTCAAAGTTTTGGCCATTCACCTCCAATATCTAGAAAGGGTAACAAGAGAATCTCACACTGGCAAATTAGAATAATCAGAAATTTATAACACAAAACTTATATGAAGTATGTTATAAAAATAACATCATTTGTTTTCACTGAATTCATATTATCAATTGATGTTTTTAGACTAGGCTCATCCCTGTAATTGACTGTCTTATTCACAAAACTTTACAGTGGTCCAGAAATAATCATCTTTAAACCTCCTGTGCTTTCCTACCACTCTTTTTTTTTTCTTTTACTTTTTAGTTTTCATATAAAAATGGAATGGCTAAACAATGTCTTTTTTCTGGAAGTACCTACTGACATTTCAAACATTAATTTGCATACCTGATCTCCACGTTTCAAGCCTGCTTCAGTAGCCTTGCTACCCAAATCTACGCTGTCAACAAAGATTCCAAATCCCTTTTCAGATCCTCCTAATAATAAGAAAGGCAAAGGAGCTTCCCGAGATGGCTTTGTCAATGTTATAGTCCTTCGTTTAGCTTTAGCAGCACATGCAATATTTAACAGCCTCAGATGTCCACCCATTTTCTGCAAGCAAAAATATTAATTTAGAACCATTAATTTCAATGTTATTCTCAGTGCAGCACCACAAACTTTTTTCCTCCATGTCTAGAGGTCTATTCATACCTCTCTTTCCAAATTGTTCTCAAATTCCTCCAGAAAACGAGTCATTGCAGGGTCTCCCTCAAAATCATTGAAGTGATTGTTCACCCACAATAACACTACCCGTGTAACCTGAAGGAAGAAATATAAAATTGTGCTACATTTTCATACAAATTATTATGTCCATCTGATCTAATATTTTAGGTGTGAACTGATCTGATCAAGTGATATTTAACTTGACTGAATGATGTGAAATTCATCATTTTTATAAGAGTACCCCAATATTAAAAATAACCCACCCTGAAACTTTTTTTTTAAATAAAACCTTGTACATTTTCAGAATGATTCATTTCACCATTTCTATGCAAATGAGAAAATACAGCCCAATTCATTCAATATTTGAAATAATTCTTCTAGTTCCAATAGACATTCTAAGAGAAAAGTTTATATTTGACAGATTCTTTTAAATTCCTGCTTATCTTACTTTATAGCTGAGCTTCAGAGAGCCCTGACCCTTCTGTTCTCCCACAAAGCCCTAATAACCTGGCTCTTCTCTCAGGCATTGGGCCAGACCATGGGACGAGCCGATATAAAATGAAAAGCCCTTAAATGAGATATATGTTGATTGGCCTTGGCTGACTCTGTTATTACTGTTATTTCTGTTATTCAGTTACCCTGTTGTTCTTTATGTTCCAAAGTTTATCCTATTACATTATTTCATATTATATCTTATTTTATTTTTAACTCATTGTTTTCAGGGTTTTTTTTTTTCCCAAACAGTAAGTCACCCAGTCTCATTCTTGTGAATTGGGCATCCATATAAATCTAATAAATAAATAAATAGCACATCAGTTTCAATAAACTGTTATGTTCTTAACTTGCTAATTAAAATGTTTAGCATTAGCTAAACCTTGGAAACCTTGGAAAGGTCCTTCTTTGTTGCTCGCAAGCTGTAGAATATATCTTTTGGAACGATGACTGCGCCCCACCGTCTTTACTTTCAGAAAATATGACTTATTCTTTTAATTTGCTTTTAAACTATTTAATAGCTATTCAGTAGCTACTGTTTTATGTTTGTAGTTTTAATTATTGTGTGATTATTTTATATATTTTTTCTTTTCTATTCATAACTATCATGAACATGAGCTTTGGAGAAAATATGAGACACAAATCCAGCAAAAAATACAAATCATCACCATCATGTGATTCTGTAACAAGAATTTTAGTTATGCTAGTTTATTTAGAAAGGAAAGTTTTGCTCCTACTATGTCAGCAAACTGATTCTTTAGCAATACCCTTTCAGATTTTAATAATGTGAAACAATACAGATGTTCTTTCTATGCATTTATAAAACAAGAAGTTCACATCAATCTTTGTTAACAATGCTACAAGGTTAAAAAATCATAATCAGACCTTGATCTGAACAAGAATTCTTATAAAGTGCTATTAGGAATTCATAGGATGCATAATTTTAAGAAAGATTATTATTTAGTTGTAATTTTTTTTTTGAATTTACAAATATTAATTAAAGTCTCCTAACAGAGCATATTGCTTAACACTTCATGTGATATACACAATATGCATTATAATTTCTTAAATTATAACAAGAGATGGACAGAGTATACAAGATTTAACATTCCATAGTAAGGGACATGTGCATGTAAATGATGGTGGAGCTTTTTACTACATGAAATTACATTATGTTATATGTAGTGAAATACATGGGTTAGTTCCTAATTTTTTTTCCAGTGATGTGAAGGGGAAAAAGATGATTGTCACTCCCCACCCCCACCCCATATAAACTATCCACAGTACATTATAATAAAAATAAAGACATAGAAGAAAATTATTTATGCAACCTTATCCCTGAGGCTAGGATCATTGAACCACTCCAATAACTTTTTTCCCACTTCCATTGGGCTCGAAAGGAAGGTTCTATATGTCAATAAGAAATCTTCTATGTAAGTTGGATCCACTACTGAATGCTCTTCTACCAAATGCATTGTTAATCTCTCCGGTGTTCCCTGTAAAATGTAAATATTCAAACATCAGGGCATGAATGTGTTTTTTCCTTGCATCTTCTATTTGTTTCACCAAATTTAAAACAGAACGGAATGTTTATTGGACTATATTTAAAATTAGACAACACTTAATACAGAAAGCCAAGAATTCAGTGGCATTCTCCACACGTATTGATATACTGTATATATCTGCTAGTTTGTGGCATTTGGGCAGCTGCACAATAGCCTGCAAGGTGCTTTCAAGAATACAGATCCTGGCTTGGATAAAACAGCATGAAAATGCTTGTGGTAAAACTGAACTTTGCTAGAATTGCCTATTACTATCTTTGCATGTAGCAGAGAAAGTTGCACGTAGCATGAATACAAATAAGTCTGGTAATCTAGTCTACATCTTCTCTAGTTTATTAAAAGCATTATATAAAAGGTTCAGTTGACCAAAACCATGATGAACAACAGAAGTTAATATCTATAGGCCCCACTGGTATTGACTGTGGCATATGGAAGATTGCTCCATGGATTCTTTGTGTAAACGACAAAGAAGATCAAGAAATGAAATGAAATGAAATGAAATGAAATGAAGTGAAGTGAAGTGAAGTGAAGTGAAGTGAAGTGAAATGAG